GGAGGCCGGGCACCCATGCTGGGCGCGGTCAGCCTGCGAGGCCCAGGCCGGGCCGAGGAGGGGGCAGTGATGGGTCACAGCCTGGCGGCTCCGCAAGGCCGGGGTGCTGCAGGCGGAGCAGGAGGGGCGCCCGTTGCGGGCCGCAGCCTGGGGCAGCGGCAGGGTGGGCACGGCTGAGAGGTGTCGGCCGTCTGCCAAGGGACAGGCGCTGGGTAAGCCACGGGCGGCCCACGCTGCGGGCGCGCCCAGACGCTGGGGGCGGGGGCGCCGGCAGGGCCACGTCCTCCGGCCCCCTCTTTCCGTCTGCTCTGTGGGCGCTCACTTGCCAGCGTGTGAAACTCAGCAGCCTCTGGGCCGGCGGGCGGAAGTGAGTGTCCAGTCACGGGGACACACCCCCTGGTTTCTAGGGTGTGACTCAGCCGTCACCCAGCCCCAGGAGGCGTCGCTCACCCTCTCCCCGCCCCCCAGCCACCAGCCAGCTGCTCTTTTCTGCAGGCCCTGCGGGGACCGCTGGAAGGGAGGGGCGGGGTGCTGAAGGGCGCGGGATCCTGCCGGGATCCTGCCGGCCCTGAGCGTTATCGGGACGAGCAGGCCGGGCGGCCGGGTGGGCCCTGCTGAGCTCCACCTGCTAGGGTGTTGCCACCCCACGCACGTGGGGACCAGGAAACAGACAAGTGAAACAGGTGAATGACATGGCCGGGAAGTGGGGGCTCGGAGGTCGGGCTTGGAGGTTGGGCGCCCTCGCTGGCGGGTGCAGGGTGCCGCCAGAGTCGGGTGGGCCCCTGCCACTGTGGGGCTGGTCCACCGCAGGAGAGGGGCTGCAGGAGAGGACAGCCCCTCTCAGGGCGGGGTGCAGGGCCGGCCCCGGGGACCCAGCCACGCAGGCTCACGCCTTCAGCTGAGGGGAGTCCCGGCTCAGGCGGGACCACTTCCGACCACCTCCCCCGGGCGCCCCCGCCCCCCAGGGCCTCCTCAGCCGGTCTCTCTCCTGCGGGTGCAGCAGACGCCGGCCTAGGCGGCACACAGAGAGGGCCTCCTGCCGCCGAGCCCCAGCCGCCTCTCGCGTCCTCTGGCCCCGTGTCCCCTGACCACCCGCACCCCACAGCCCTCGTCTTCACCCACCGTGCTTCAGACTGTGTCGCCCCTGAACCTTCGCTCTTGGCTCTGTCTGGTCTCACTCTAGCTTACCAGCACCCCTGGGTCGCCTGCACTGGTGAGGTCCAGAAACGCTCCCCGAGTGACCATTGGGGCCAGTTTTAGCCCCTTTGCCTGGGAGCACCACGCACTCCCGGGCGTGCAGGAAACGGTCCCTCAGCTCAGCCTGGGGTGGACGCACAGGCCCAGGCAGCGGCCTGGCACAAAGGAGAGGCCACTGGGGGTCCTCAGGGTGCAGAGGAAATTATCTCATACCCTGCTGGGTTCATCTAGACAGGCCAGTGAAAAACAAGCACCACACAGGTTGATAAGAGAAAAAGCAGAAAAGTTTAACAACTCACACTGGGGAGAGACCCAGCCCCCAGTGACTCACCCCAAGGTTTCCGATCCGATCCGTTCCCAGTCTTAGCTAAGACTGGGTGGGGCAGAGAGGAAGGGCCAGTTCGGGGCTACCCTGCAAGGCTTGGCGGCGAGGATGCGGATGAAGCTGTCTCCTCTGCCGAAGAGAACAGCAGTGAGGTCCGGAGACAGCCGTCAGTAGCCTGCACATCAATCCCAAAAGCAACCTCCCCCCAGCCCCTCAGAGCCCCTCCCTGAATCGTTTTTGCCAAAAGACGAATTCTGGGGGGCCGGTTTCACTCCCTTCCAGTTGCCTTCAGTTACCTGTTCTCATGCCAAGCGGGTGCCAGGTGACGCCCCACCGACCCCAGTAGAAATGGTCCAAGAGCCAGGTGGGTTAGCGAGGGCAGAAACAAGCCCACTGGAGTAAGTTCAGGTAATGACCAGAGCATGGAAGTCAGGAGAAGGCCGAGGAGGCGGGGGGCGGGGGGGCGTGCGGGGGGGAACGGGGGGAGATGGCCGTGCCAAGGCCCGGAGGCGGGGTGAGACACCCCACAGCAGCGGCCCCTGCAGAGTGACCCCAGGCAGGAAGGAGAGTGTGGCGTGTAACGGGGTGGCCCCGGGGAAAGCGGGGTCCAGATCCTCTACCCCACCCAAGAAGAGTGGGGCTGAGCGAGGAACCCAAGAGGGGCCTGGAGAGGAGGGCCGAGGCCAGGTGGAGGGAGGACGGTCTGGGCAGACCGGGCACGTGCACAGAGGGCGCTGGCTTCTGCGCTGAGACTGGCACAGGACTGGGGGCACCGGAGGCCCTTGAAGCAGACGCGGGAGCCGGGAGGCCTTCCTCTGTGCGCCCGCCACAAGGTCTGTGGCTTGTTTCCTACACACTTAAGGATCCTCAGGATTCTGGTTTAATTCTAAGTGGTGCAAACTTCAGGGACAGAAGCAAACCGAGTTGCTCGCTGTTCAGTGGCTGCATCAAAACAGTATTGTTTCAGGGCCTCCCTGGGGGTACGGGGTGAGCCTCAGCACCGTGAGGCTACGGGCAGCCGCAGCCGCTGTCCGATCCCCGCCAGGAGTGACCCAGGGCGCAGCAGACGGCTCCTGTCTCCCCGCCACTCCCCTCAGTAGTGGATTTCAGTCAGTCTGCCTCTTCTGCACCCCACACTGTCTCTGGGGAGTCCTCTCACCCCCATCTCTGGCCTGTACCCCAGTTCTTGTATGCACGGTAAATCTTCAGAAGAAAAACAGTACGATTTCATAGCCACAGATAACAGACCCAACTGAACAGCTCCTGAAAAGCAGTTGATAAAACTCGCCAGTTTACGTAACTCGGCTTTCAACGCTCCAGCCCTGGTGCGCACACGCCCCCTGCTGGGCAACCGAGCATGGCGCCAGGCCCCGAAGGCGCCCACCCAGCC